GGTCTTGCAGGACTGCACCTTTTAGCTGCGTTGTGTGTTCCTCATTCCCACCTGGCTGCTAATGTTTTGGTTTGCTGTTAATTATTTATTAGCTTTCAAAGGTTTCATGTGCCTCAGTAGTTCTTACTTACCCTAGGGTGAATCGCTAATATGCTATATTCCCCTTCCTTCCTAACTAAATTGCTCTGCTTGTACTTAGAAATCTATTAATAGATAAAACCAGAGCAGAGGCAGGCTCTCCTTATAAAGTCCTTGTTCTTCTTGAGGTGGAAAATCTAATAGTCAGGCTGAATCCTGCCTTTTCTTCCTTCCTTCCTTTTTTTTGGTGGAAATCTAGCTTTTCCTGCGTTCTAAATGGCAGAGGGGGATTAGGTTGTTCAGAGTTTGCTCGAATTCAGACTACTCTCTTGAAGTTTGTTCTTTCTCTTTCAAGAACTCCTACGAACACTAGCTCAAAGAGATTCTAATTAGAAGCAGTTCTTTCTGTGCTCCAGACTTCTTTTATTGTGCGTTATTTTCTTTTTCTCTGAATAGAATAAGTACCCAAGATTGTAGGCTGGGAAACGGCTTCAAAAGCTGAGCTCGGTCTCCCGCAGCCGCTCCTCCCTAGCCCTGAGCTCCACACGCTGTTCGAGGCTTTTCCTCGCACTGAACAAAGGCGTTTCACCATTCACTCTGTAAAGGCCCCACTTAGCAAATGGCCCCAGAGCACTCGGCTGGACTTCGAGATCCTGGAAGTGCAAGATAGGTGTGCTGAATGAGCATCCGGCTCAGCGGTGTGAAGCACAGCTGTGAAGAGTGTAGATTTCGGAGAAGACCCGTATCCAGCCTCTCTTTTTGCAGGGAGGAAGTCAGGGGCCAGGCGCTCCTGCGCTGTAACAGGCCACCTCCCCTGCAAGGTGGAGAGGCAGAGCCTGGGACCCTCGGAGACACTGCCCCACCCATAGTAGCCAAGGCCCTTGTGCAGCAGGCTCACTGATTAGGCTGGAATTCTCGCCAGGTTAGCACGCTGGGGAGACGTGTTCCAGGGATGGGCAGAATGGAAGGAAGCAGACGGCAGGGGCAGAGGGTGGGCATCTGCTGCTTGACTCCAAAATACTCCGTGGTCCTCCGCACATGCTCACTGGCCATCACTGCCCAGAGGCCCTACCAGCAGCGCACCAGCCTTGCTTTGAAATGAAAATGCGAAGAGCTTTCCAAGGGGCCTGCCTTTTGAAATATTTTGTTTACCAACTGGGTTTTGCTTGATTGTTTTTTGTTTTTATTGTGCACTTGCTGGAGAGAGACAGAGAGCAAAAGGGAAGGTGCGCAGTCACCCCGGGGGTTCACTGTGCTGCAGTCTCTTCCGTTCTGTTCTCAGTTTGGGACTGGGGCGTGCACGCACGTGCTCCCTGTGTGTTTTTCAAACCATCAGGTCCAGGACTTAAGCTGCTCAGTCAGCCATGGGGGATCCAGCCAGTCCCCAGCTGGGTTTTAGTGCCGAGTCTGCATCATTGTTCCATCAGAACCCTGCGTAACTATGCCTGGTGCCTCTTGGTTGATCAGCACGGTCACAACCAGTCACCAGGAATGACAGAGTCCCCCCTGCGCAGGTGCCCCGCGTTGAAAGTAGGCCACAGCACGCCTTAGGCTGCCGAAACCGGAAAGGACTGGAGGACTCCAGCCTGCCTTTGGGAGCTGCGGGGTCTGGGGCTTCAGTCACCTCTGGTCTTTCCATTTGTACACACCGTTTGGGCTTTCGCCCTTGATTAAACTGTAAATAAATAACGGAATGGAGTCATAAATGGGGCGATGAGAAGCCCGCCCTTGCAGGGGGAGTACAGACAGCGTGTGGCCCTCGCCCTCAGGGAGGTGGCGCCGAGCCCTCCCCTCTAAGCATGGCTGCGCGGTGACCTCCTCAGGGCAGTGTGGAAGGGGTTGGGTGGAGTCACAACTGCACAGTGGAGAGACCCAGCAGTCCCCGCCTCGGCCACCTCCTCAGCCACAGCATAGGCTCACTCATTCTGAAACATGCACCCTTGACCCATGATGAGAGCTGCACTCGCCTCTGGGTACCCCCGGAAACCTCTCAGCCCAGTAAAATCATGACAGAAGCACCCGACAGAGCTCGACTGACCAACCTCCAGCAAAACACCCGCCCCTCGAACCCAAGGGCATCCAGAACACAAAGCCGAGAGGCGTCCAGGAGACACTGACTAAATGGACCATGGTGTCCTGGGTGGGACCCTCATGTGGACAGAGGACATCAGGTAAAGGAGACACCCGAGTGACGTGCGGACGTCAGTCCTGAGTCAGCGCCAGCTCAGCAGTTGGGATGAATGTGTCAAAGTAACGCGATGTTAACAGGGCAGGCTGGGGACGGTATGTGGGACCCTGATGCTACCTTTTCAGTTTTCTGTAAATCGAAGCGATTCTAAAATTAAAACTTCATTTGAAAAAGGCATGAGGCGTTAGGGGAACTGACAGTGGTTCGACTGGCCAGAGTGGAGTGAGAAGCCAGGAGGAGTGGCAGGTGCTGAGCACGGTGGGCCCAGCCTGGTCACGGCCTTCTGCACCGGGCCAGGCCCAGACTTACCGTGAGGGTGCTGGGGCATGGGCAGGAGTGCAGCGCGGCAGGGGCACGACAAGCTTCGTGCTCCGCTCCGACGGCGCTGTGCCAGGACAGAGGGGTGGTGGCCAGCCTCAGAGAGACCAGAAGCCTGTGTTTAACTAAGCGAGAAAAACATGGGCCTGAACCCAATGGCTGATGGGCGCTGGAGAGGAAAGAATAGGTGTCAGAGACAGCAAGAAAATAAAATTGGTAAGACGGGGTAACTGGGTATTTGAGTGAAGAGAGGGTGACTTTGTTTATTCGGTCATTCAATAAGAGTTCAGTGGGGACTGGGCCAGCCGTGGCATGGCGGCTATGGCGGGGGGGGGCCCCTATGGCGGCCGGATCCCACATGGCGGACCTCACCGCCGAGTTCTAGACCCAGTGGCTTGAGAAACACAGCAGGCACGTGGGCATGCGTGCCTGATCCCAGAAGGAGGGAGAGACAGGAGTTGGGACCCGTGTGGCCTTGCCCCAAGGGGCTGCCTTCTCGCTCGCCCACCCTGTCTCTCCCTCCAGTGAGTGTACATGCCCCCGGGCCATTTATTTATTTATTTATTTATTTAAAAACTTCTCTGGGAACCTTCCCCATTTCAGCACTAGGTCTGAACAAATAGTGACTACTCTCGAGCGCGTACTCCCAGGAGGGGAAGGGAGAAGGAGCTGGTAGGAGGAGCTAAGGAGTGTGCCCAGCTGTCCTGCCAGTGTAGATGAGCAGGCGGTTTCCGGAGGGGACTGCCAGCGTGTTGAGTAAGCAGTATTGATCAGAGGCGGGATACAGGAGGGGAATCGATCATCTAAGAGCAAGTTCCACATCGGCTGGTAGGAGGGGACTCGGCCATGAATGCAGGTGGAACACACAGGCCAGCTGGGTCTTTTGGGCTCGGCCGCGGCAAGGCATGGACAGCGGCCCAGCTGTGCACTGAGTGTGCTCTGACCGCTGGATGTGGAGCGAGCGTGACCCACATGGGCGTCGGGCACAGCTCTGGTACGCGCCCTGCAGGCTGCGATGCTCAGGTAAGTGCCACCGGTGAACTGGGCTGCGGGTGCGTGGCTGGGTAGCCTACCACTAGGCGACAGCTGCAGAGAAGTCGAAAAAGCTTTTATGGACACAAGAATTCACTGTAGCCTGTGAACTTGAGAGAGTTTTGGAGTATGGCCATTTCTCCCAGCTCTGGTCAAATTAAGGTAAGGGAGACCATGCCCCCAAGTGTCCATGCAGCCTGTCCCCTCTACTCCCCAGCAGCCCTGTCAGGGCAGGCCCAAGGACTGGGTGAAAAGGATGCGCCCTGCTCCGCTGGTGTCATGGGTATAGCAGACTCCCCATCCCCCCGTCAGCTGGAGGGTGGAGGTGGGGCCTACGGAAGTCGAGAATGTTCACTCGTGGAAGAGGAAGAGTCAGCATGGGCTGGGGAGGCTGCCCTTGGAGAAGAGAGGCCTGGTGAGGTCAGAGCAGGTGGACCGGCTGCAGGTGAAGGGAGTAGCTGTGGACGAGGTGTCCTTCCCACGACAGTGTCTACAGGTATAAGGGCAGGAGAGGGAGAGGACTCAGACCAGGTCTCCTCGGCTTCCTCTACAGCGGGAGCAGGGCTTGCTGGGAGAGGGGCAGGCCAGTCCCAGGCACTTGAATAGCGTGTGGGTGGTCCGAGTTTGAGTGAGGAACTGGCTAGGGACCAGCATGATTGCACCAGGGAGCCGAAGACCAGCTGAGGCTTGGAGGAGCTTAGGCACGAGGCTTCAAACGGAGAAGCTAGAAACACTGTGCTTCCCGTAAGCTGCTCCTGAGGATCTGGGTGTCAGTGTGTCAGTGTGTGACAAATTCTTCTCTTTCATCCATTCGAAGAGCATTTGTCAAGGGTGCCCAGGGTGCTTGGGCTGCTGAGAGCGATGAGTGAGAAGCCTGCTCGGGCGGCAGACGCTCTCCACTGACGGGGGGACGGGCAGTAGACAGACCAGCCTGTGGGAGCTGCCGGGCGGCCAGGATGCTGGGCTTTGAGAGCAAAGAGGAGGCCCTGCCTGACTGCCTGGGGGCCTCTGGGAGGGGACAGACCAACAGGTAAGCAAGTCGTCGAGGCCATCAGTGATGCAGTGGCCACGCTGCTGGAGTGATGCTGGGTCCACATGGACGGTGGTGGGAGTGGTTCTCCCGGCGACCCACACACCAGAGTGTCTGTGATCCAGGCTGGCTGGGAGGCGTGGGTGTGGCCTGAGGCCCTGTGGAGGATTTTTGTCTCTTGTTTTCTCTCTCTTCATTCGCTCCCATGAAAGAAGTAAATAAAAACGAGAAAGAAACGAGAGTGTGCGGAAGGGTGAGCATTTCAGTATCCGGCCCAGCGTGTGAGCCTGCAGTGGGGGGACTTTCTGTAGAGACGCGGCCAGTGCAACGGGTCTCCCGGGCGCTGGGCGGGCGGGGTGGACATGTGCTTGTCTCCGCGCGGCTGCTCTGAACCCGGTGGCCCGCAACCACAGGTCCTGCCCTTCCAGAAGCCCACGTCTGGCTCGGAGACTCCATACCCACAAAGGGCCCATGCCCCTCTCCGTAATGGAGAGCGTGCTGTTGTCGGGGCCCATCAGGACGCGCTCCTCCTCCTCCTCCCTAGCCAGCTCCTGCTGCTCCAATCTCTGCAGTTTCTCATCTGTCCCTCTCCCTCCAGTTTTTAAGAATTACTTTTTCTGCCATATTCATTAGTCAAAGAGACGGTGCATTTCTAGTCTGTTCCCGCAATGCTAAGCAATGTGAGTTCAGTGTCTGCCCGCGCATGTGGCACTTAGCTCCAACTGTCCTTTTTCTTCTAAAATGTGACTCAGCCAGACAGAACACACCCTGCTCAGTACTCTGGAAACCCCGTGCCTGCTCCGCCTGCCCGAGCCAGTCTCCCAGGGAGCTCCGACCTCCCCCATCCCTGGCCTCCACCCCACGGCTCCTCTCGGCGCTCATGGGCTGCGCTGTCAGGGCAGGCCACCCCACCGCGAGAGGCTGGCGGTCTGGACATGGGGGAGACTGCGCCCATTCTCTGGGTTTGCATGGCACCGTCGACTGGCAGCCAAGGTGATCCTGCCCATAGGTGTCCTCGGGCCTCCACCACGGAGGCACTGTCCTGGCCTCAAGGCTGAACCCAGACTGGCGATGGACTGGGAGGGGCGCTCGCTGCTTCTGGCCGGTTCCCAACATCCGAAGCTCCTCTTTAGGCCAGATGATTGCTTTCGTCCCCTGGGAAGGTGAGTTACAAAACCCCGCGTCCTCCGAGGCTCGTTCTTCCTCTGTTATGTGGAGTCCACGCATACCTCACTCGGACTGGCATGCAAAGACCGGGTTATTTTTAAGTTGTACAGCGTGAAATTGTTGGTGCCTGCAGAAACGGGGTCTCCTGTATTCGGGCCGATGCGTGAATGTGCCGCGAGTCCCCTTGGTGCTGTGTAATGGGACCCCACACCGTCTCAGATCAAGCTGTAGACACTGCATCGTGAACAGGAAGTCAGGGACCAGGAGGGAGCAGGATCCTAGCCATTGCCCCCACTTGACGATGTGTTGGAAGCCTGCTGCTTCTGGGTGTGAGCTCGAGGAAGGAAGGCAGACGCATCTGACTGCCCTGCTGGCTCCCGGCGTGGCGTCCGTGCAGAGGAGAGCTGGCCCACGGTGCGCTCTCCTGGTTTTAGTGTCAGCCGTGTCGGTGCGGCAGGCAGGGAGACGGCTGCTTACAGTGTGGGTGCGTTTGTTGGGAATTCATGCCGTTTGCACCCAAAACGCCCACAGCCAGGTGGCCTCTTTGCTGGTCCCTCTCTTGTCCCGTGAACTGCCTATACGCCCTCACTGTCTCGGAGCTGACAGTCCTCTGCTATGGTGTGGGTGGTCCCCTTTCTCCTGCGATTTGGGGTACACACATGCACCTGGTATAATTTTCAAGCCGCCAGGCCCAGGACGGAAACGGGTCAGTCATGTGGGAATCCAGCACCTTAACCACCATGCCACCTGCTGGTCCCCAACCTGCATTTCTTAACCTCCAGACCCATCATGGAAAAAACAGACCTCGTCTTTACCAACCCTGAATAGACACAGCCTGGAAGCATTTTCCCACTTTCCAAACTCTGTTTCATGTATGAACACACAGGCCAAGTAGTTTAGACAGAGCAGCCCCGTTATGCCCCTCCTGCCCAGCCCAGCCTCAGGCAGCCTGGCCTAGTCCCTCCGCGTGCTTCTACGCGTCTCGGGCAGTTTACGATCAGACTTCCCGGCTGACCCGCTCCAGCGAGCCCTGTCCACCCGGTGCTATGGAATTCGAACTAGCCGTCTCTGTTTTACACCACGCCAAGCACCTTGGCCGGGGCCCCGTCTTCTAATTCATCTAGTGTTTCGTAACCCCGTCACTCTCGAC